CCTGACGAGCACAGCAGCTGGGCTGGGGCATTCCACAGCCTGCCTTCCGGCTCCCCTCCCGCCGCCTGGCAGGGCCACTCAGGGGCGGCCTCGAGCCGCGGGCCTGGGTTGAAATCCCAGCTCCTCCATTTCCGAGCAATGTGGCTTGAGCAGGTTCCTCCAGCTCTCTGTGCTCCGCCGCCGTGGGGCTGTGGTGAGGAAAACGTCAAAGGCGCTGAGAGCAGGGCCTGGCACCTAGGAAGCCCTCTGGAGAATGGAGTTCTCCTTGTTGTTGATGCCTTGGGGAGTAGGGAGGGTAGAAATCCAGCCTACCCAGGCCACTCTGTGCCAGGAAACTTAAATAAAGGCTCTTCCTCCATCTCATTTTACTTGTTGAAGCCCTTAAATAATTTAGAGGAAAAAAGAAGAAACTTTTCATTTTGGGAAGACTTAGATATTGTCTAGTTCAACTCTGTTCCAACTTCCACCCATTAAAGTCCCTTACCTGCTTGCATACCTCTTCTGCCAGGAAGCTCACTACCTGTAAGGCAGCCCTTTCCATTCTTGGTCAGCAGTCCTTGTGAGAAAGTGTTTCCTCAAAGTGAGCTAAAACTGCCTCCTTTTGACTCTCCAACTCTCATTTTTGCTCCCCACCCTCCCCCCCATCCTGGCCACACACTGCCCTCTGAGGCCATATAAGAGGCTACTCACCACCACCCTTGATTCTTGGAGACAATAACCTTATACCCCTGTGCTTTCTCTTCTTCAGGCTGTGATCTGAACCTCTGGAGTAGAGAGGGACAGTCACCTCCCCAGTTAGACCTTGACTAATATGGCCTAAGTTCTAGTCACACAGTTTCACACTGAAACAAAAATCCCCCCCTGGGGGTTTTCACATTGACTGCTGCCAAGCCACATCCTCATTCTCGGCTTGCACTGGGGGAGCTTGAATTCAAGACTTTATCAGTCAAACTTATTGGCTCATAAGACGCAAACATTTAGTTAGCCCTGGCTTCAGGCAGAGCCTGATCCAGCAATTCGGATAATGTTAATAAGGAGCCAGTTTCTATTGCCCGTCATCTTTAGGCTCTACCTGTAGCCCCCAGCATCTCCAGCCTGTCCCCTGAGAGTCACAAATGGCTATCACAGCTCCCAACGTCATCCTCACACCTCATCAGGCAGGGAGCAAGTGGGTTGGCAAGCGGAGAAAAAGCTTCAGTTTGGCGGAAACGCCAGCAGACAGCGCCTTGTGTCTCACTGGCTGCCTGTGCAGCCCTGGAGCAACCACGGTACCAGGGGTGGGGTTGTGGTGGTCAGCCTGGGCAGGGGCCGCGTGCCACATCCTCCTCTGAGCAGGCGAGCCGCCTGCAGTGGGAGAGGGTGAGCAGGCGAGATAGCTGGAGCTGTCACCCAGGGTAGCGGGTGCTGCACGGCCACAGATGGCCGATGCCCCACCCCAAGCCTCGAGTGCAGCCAGCCCCGCAGATCCCTTCTTGATTGGCTCAGCAGACAGTCCTCTGGATGCTGAGTCTACCGGACCAACCCTGGGCGCCGCCCCCCCCCCCCCCCCCCCCCCCCCCCCCCCCCCCCCCCGGCCCCCCCCCCCCCCCCCCCCCCCCCGGCTTGGCCTCTCCGCGGTGCCTCCTCCTGGTGTTCCAGTCACACTGAAGCCGCTGCTGTGTCTCACGGATGGACATGCCCATGGCCCGCGGAACTGCTGCCAGCGGATGGTTTCCCAGCTCCTCTGCCTGCTTCCACAGGCTGACCATGAGAACCCCGGCAGTGGCCCCCTGCAAGATGGGCCCATGACCCACTGCCAGCTCCCTGTTGGCAGCACTGGGTTCAGAACCAAGGACCTCACTTCATCCCTGTCTGGCCCTCCTGGGTGCTGTGTGGCTTCTCCCCTTACAGTGGATCTGTGTGGGTCCGGGAACTGGCGGGTGACTCCACATAGCGACTCCTGAACTGAGTACAAGGGTCCTTGTTTTCCAACGATGTTTGGTCCTGAGAAAGCCACTAAAGTGGATCCACGTAAAATGGGACCAAAGAGAGTGGCATGTGTGTTTGCAAGGTTTGACTGAGACTTTAACTTGAAAAATAAACCCAAAATGTATTAAAGTGAGTTTATTGTTCTATTTATTTGATAAAACCAGGTGGTATTTTCAACTATTCGTTCTTTCTTTTTAAAAAAATTATGGTAAAATTCATACATAACATGAAATTTACCATTTTAACCACTTTTAAGTGTTCACTTCAGCAGCATTGAGTACACTCACATTGTGCGCAGCCATCGCCACCATCCATCTCCAGAACTTTCATCTTCCCAAACTGCAGCTCTGTCCCCATGAAACACCAACTCCCCACCCCGTCCTCAGCCCCTGGCACCCCCATTCCACCTTCCGTCTCTGTGGATCTGACTGCTCATGAGTGGGATCAGACAGCATTTGTCCTTTTGTGACTGGCTTATTTCACGTAGCATGATGTCTTCAAAGCTCATCCATGTGGTATGTGTCAGAACTTCCGTTTTGGGGCTTGACGATGCTGCATTGCATGAACTGACCCACTTTGTCTCTCCGTCCGTCTGCCGATGGACGCCTGGGCTGCTTCCACCTTTCGGCTACTGTGAATGGTGTTGCCGTGAACATGGGTGTCACGTATCTGCTTGAGTCCCTGCTTTCAGTTCTTTCGGGTGTGTGCCCAGAAGAGGGGTTGCTGGATCATATGGTAATTCTATGTTTAATTTTTCATTCATTTAACAAAATAGTCTTCGGGGGCCGGCCCGGGAGTGCAGCAGGTAAGTTCACATGTTCCACTTCAGCGGCCCAGGGTTCACCAGTTCAGATCCCGGGTGCAGACTTACACAGCGCTTGGCAAGCCATGCTGTGGTAGGCGTCCCACATATAAAGTAGAGGAAGATGGGCACGGATGTTAGCTCAGGGCCAGTCTTCCTCAAAAAAAAAGAAATAAAAAGTAATCTTCATGACTGAAATACAGTGCACTAATTTGTATACATAGGATGATTCAGGGTTTATTATTCCTTTTGGAATATTTTCTCCAACAAAACTATGTGGGAACACAATGGTGCATCCTTAACTTTATGCTTTTTTATTTTTGCAGCTTAATCATGAGGAGGGTCCCTTCTGCAAAAGTATTTGAGACTTTCCTTAGTTTTTCTCAGGGCTCTTCCCAGTCCTGTGAGCCTCTTTGGTGCTCCGGCCGCTCCTCATCCTGGTGATTTTCTCTTCACTTGTAAACTGGTCCAGCTCTGCCACGCCCCCACATCACTGGTTCCGCCTGGGATGCACGCAGCTCTCCAGTATGCCCTTCATCGACATCACAGAAGCTCCCTTTTGTCAAGATGTGCAGGTTCACCTTGCAGTCTGTCTGTCTTGGGTCACGTCTGACAAACAGGGAGAGATCAATAACAGCAGATGCTGAAGAGACGAGTGAGGGGACAGCTGTTGGTGTAAAAGGGTGGGGGGGCACTGAGAACTAGTTTAGTAAGGGGCCGGTTCACGAGTCAGTATTTTCATATTATGATAGACTGTTTTCTTTTTTCCCTGACCTTGTAACTGCAGGGACGTGGAAAATGAATATTCAAAAAGTGAGGAACCTGATTGATAATGATGAAGTAGGTTCTCCAAGCCCGAAGAGGAGAGATGATTCATTTAAAAGCTTTCAGGGACGAGGAATAGAACATGTAATTAAAAGTAACCGAGAGGGGGCAGCCCTGGTGCCCCAGAGGTTAAGTTCGGCTCACTCTGCTGTGGTGGCCTGGGTGTGGTTCCTGGGTGTGGCCCTACACCACCTGTCAGTGGCCATGCTGTGGCGGCGGCTCACATATGCAAAAAAAGAGGAAGATTGGCAACAAATGTTGGCTCAGGGTGAGTCTTCCTCAGCAATAAAAAAAGTAACTGAAAAAATGAAGGCTTTTTTTTTTTTAAGATTGGCCCTGAGCTAACATTTGTTGCCAATCTTCCTCTTTTTTGTTTTTCTTCTCCCCAAAGCCCCCCAGTCCATAGTTGTATATTCTAGCTGTATGTCCCTCTAGTTGTGGCATGTGGGACGCCGCCTCAGCATGGCCTGATGAGTGGTGCCATGTCTGCGCCCAGGATCTGAACCGGTGAAACCCTGGGCCGCTGAAGCAGAGCACGTGAACTTAACCACTCGGCCACAGGGCTGGCCCTGAAGACTTTTTTTTAATCTTACCCATAATAAGTCCAGAGGCAAGTGGCTCCAGAGTAGATAACTCAGCAGCTAAAAGATGTTAGGGCTCTTGTTCAACTACTCTATAATTCTCTCAATCATTTCCTCATGGTCACAAGATGACTACTGCAGCTCCAAACACCATTTCTTCACATGACAATATCCAAAGGCAAGAAGTAAGGGCATTTCCTTTTCTGACCTTTTTTCTTTTTTTTTTTTGGTGAGGAAGATTCACCCTGAGCTAACATCCATTGCCGATCTTCCTTTTTTTTTGCTCTAGGAATATTAGCCCTGAGCTAACATCTGTGCCAGTCTTCCTGTACTTTGTACGTGGGATGCCTCCACAGCGTGGCTGATGAGTGGAGTAGGTCCACGCCTGGGATCTGAACCCATGAACCCAAGCAGCTGAAGCGGAGCACATGGAACTTTAACCACTTGGCCACGGGGCCAGCCCTGGCCTTCTTTTTTCATAAGGGATGAAAATCTGTTTCAGAGGCTCCTCAGCTTTTGCCTTTGGTCCCATTGACTAAAATTGGGTTACGTGTCTGTGCCTCAGCTTCAAGGGCAGCTGGGGGACGAGCATCCAGCACTTGCCCTGGATCGTGGAAGGCTGACTCCACCATGCCGGCCACTGGATAGGGAGCCGGTAGGGTCAGACACAGAGATAACCCAGAGTCCCCTTCAGGCATACCATAGACAGCTTACCTGTGCAGGATCCAGGCGGAACAGGGCGGGCCTGCATCCCACGCTCCCCTGCAAGACGTTGGCCAGGTCCTCTTCTCCCTCTAACATATGTGTTTTGCCCCTGCCCCCAGGTCAGAGGGCACCCAGCTCCCAGCCTCACCACGAGCCAGCCCAGAGCCAGAAGCCAAGAGCAGTGAACCTGAGGACTGTGAGACCAGAGGCTCAGACGCCCCTCCAGAGGGAGCCTGGCAGTCAGAAGGCAGCTCCGAGAGCAGAGCCCTGGACGAAGGTTGGTCCCCGCACGCTCACGCTGGCTAACAGGCTCACAGTCCATCCAGCTGGACCCCTGCCCTGCTCACAGGGTCCTGGCTGCACTGATGCTGCCGTCCAGTTTTCAGACAGAGCCCCATGCCCCCTACCTGCTGTGGCCGGGCTTTCCGGGCCCACAGGGGCCCTTCTCTGTGGGCCTGAGAACACAGGGAGGCAGGTCCCACTCGGTGCAGGGAGAGCCTATCTCCCGTCAGTGGCGTGCAGAGGTGAGCTGGGCGCCCAGCAAGCTGGGGTGGAATAAGCTCCACGTCATCAGAGGGTGTAAGTGGGGGCTGGATGGTCACCCCACAAGAAAACCACAAAGAGGCCCATCATCTTAAAAGCCTGAGCCTGGTGAGTGCGGAGTCAGCAGGAAAGGAGAGAAAAGTGGGCTGAGCCGGTGCCCCAGGGCTCCCCCGGCTCGTGGGCAGGGGCGGCTGGGAGCCATCACTCCCACCCAGAGCCCCTCGCCTGCTGCTGCCTCGGGCACCAGGACCATGTTAATACCTGTGACAGTAATGACACCACACACCCATGTGTGCGTGCACACACACGTATACATATACATGTACATGCATGTACACAAGCACGCATACATATGTGTATACACAGAGACGTGTATACACATGCACATACACATGCTTATACACGCACGCATGCACATGCACACATACAGCATCAGGAAATTCCCAGAACGTAAAACAAATCATCAATATTGGAAACCCACACGATCAGAAAGTCACGGCACAGTCACCTCGACCCTGGTTCTCTTGGGTCGGGGACGCTGTATTGAGACAAAACAGAAGGGCCCTGAGTTGGCCCAGCTGGGAACAGCCAGGAGGCAGAGAGGGGCCCAAATCAGCATACCTGTGCCGGTGTTCCCAGACCTGCCAAGGGGCCGGGTCCCCCAGGAGCCTTTTAAAATACCGATGCCCACGCCCACCCCAGATCTGTGTGCCCCTCGGGGGGTTGTTACATGGCTGGGTCAGTCGGGACGTGGTCTCTCTGAGAGTGGCAGGCTGTTCAGCCAGACCTGCCTCCACTTAAAGGAAACTTATTGGTCCACGTAATTAATTAAAAAGTCCAGGTGGGCCTCGGGCCTGCTGAGATGTCCACAGAGCGCCCGCCCCCGCTGCCTGGCCTCCTCTGGGTGGACTCCTTTTGCAGAAGGTGCTCCCCTCATCCGGACAGGACGGCCCCGGAGCTCCAGACCCGCATGCTCCACCTCCCAGGCTGCAGGACTGGAGGCCTTTCTCTCCCTGGAAGTTTGCATCACACTCTGGCCTGACTCTCCTTGGCTCACGCTGGTCCTTGCCCTGCCTGAACCTGTCACGTGGCGGGCAGTCTGTGCTCTGACTGGCCAGGCCAGACTTATATGTCCCCCAAGCTGGGGTGGACTGGAGAGGAGAGGGGAGGGCTCCCCAAGGAGAGTCGGAGCTGCCTCCCGGAGTCGGGGCCTGACACCAGCAGCCAGACACCGGGCAGCCATGACGACGCCCAGGGTTTCTGATGTTCAGTCAGATTGGAGGGCACCAAAAAGACACAGCCCTGTTGGGTCACAGGAAGTCACACACGTGACACTCCTTGCTCCACATCCCCCAGGTGTTAGAGGCATGCAGTTCCCTGAGAGTTGAAAATCCGTTCAACCTGGTGCCCGTGCCCGGCAGAGCCCAGCCCCTGACAGATGGCCTGGCCTCCCTGGCTGGGATTGCCGTGTCCTAAAGTGGAAGTAATGCGCACCTCTGAGGGCACACACAGGCCCTGGCTTGTTGTGTCATCTTAGAAAGCAGAGAAGGAAAAGAGGGCTTCTCTCTCCCAGTGTCCCTATGTGAAATGCCAGGGAGGGGCTCTGATGGGCCAGCGCCACTCCTGGGCCAGGCACAGGCCTCGGTGGCCTCACCTCACAGGGCATGGGGGGAGGCAGCTGCCTGGAGGAGGGGGAGATGGTGTCAGGGCCTCTCCCCTCTGCCCGCCCTGCCCGCACTTCCCCCTGCGGAGGGCTGCCTGGTTCCCCTCCTTTTGTCCCTTGTCCCCACATCCTGTGCTTCTCCAGCAGCGGGTGAGCAGCTCTTCCGCTCCGTGGAAGGCCAGGCCGCCTCTGACGAGGAAGAGGAGGACAAGGAGAAGTGGCAGGAGGAACAGAGGCCACCAGCCGAGGTCAAGATGCTGCTGGCTCACCTCCCCAGCTGCGGGAGTGGGTATGTTGCTGGGGACAGGTGTCCAGTAATGCGGGCTCAGCGAGCTGAGGAGGTAAAAGAAACATTTCTTGGACTCTCAAGGTCTGGTAGCAATGCTCCTTTATTCAGAGAATAGCATGGGGACACGACCCATGGGCCATGAAGGGCTGCAGACATGGGTTGAGAATATGGCTAAATTTAAGGCATAGGTATATAAGTTATTTCTTTACAAGACAAAGGAAAGATAATGTAAAAAAGTCGTTAAAATGGTATCAGTGCAGGTGGGGTCTGGTTATCGGGTGGTCCTATATTTTGGACAGGAATCAGGTCGGATCAGATCAGGTCAGATCAGGTCAGGATGTCCTGTGCTTCCTGGAGGATGATATAGATGGTATGTAGGGCAGGACACCTTGGGCTTCTCTCCCTGGGGCAGCCTGGATCCTCATCATCCAGGACCTGCCGCCGTGGGCCATGGGCTCTCACAAGTTGGCCTGGGAGCCCAGAGCCCACGTGACACCTTCATACAGTGACAGAGCTTGAACTTGGAAGGCCAACCAGGCTGATTCACGTCCAGGCTCAGTCACCTCCCAGCCCCTCTGAGGCTCTGTCCCCTCATCTCTTGGAGGAGGCGACAGGACTGCCCCAGTGTGTGTGAAGATGAAACCAGTTGGTCAGTGAAGACACACTTGGTGGTGGCTTGAATTCCCATTGGTTTTCTCTCACTCCCTTGGCCACTGTGCCAAGACACGCTCCAAAGCTCTCGTGTGGCTCCAGGCGTTTGTGAGGATTTGCGATCAACAATATAAAATGCCTAACGGCGCCTGATCACAGGAGACCCACCATGGGGGCAGTGACCTTTACTATTATATCGTAAAGGGCTGTAGATTTTCCAGAGTTATTGTTATCACCAAACTTTAAAGTCAGTAACAAGCATTTATTAAGCACATACTATGTGCCAGGCAAACTTGGGGGCCCTGGGAAAACGGCAATAAACAAGACAGTGGCCCTCCTCTCCTAGAGCCTCTATTCTCATGATAAATGTGAGGGAAGGAGGTGAAGCAGGGGAATGGGCAGAGGGAGGTGTTGGGAAGGCCTCTCTGAGAAAGAGCTGTTTGAGCAGACACCTGAAGGAAATGAGGGAGTAAGCAATGCAGGTGTTGGAGGAAGAGCATTCCAGGAAGAGGGAAGAGCAAGTGCAAAGGCCCTGAGGCACACTGGAGGGGCAGCCAGGAGGCCACTCTGGGTGGAGCAGAGTGAGTGGAGGTTGTGGGGAGGGTGGTTGGAGAGGTCACAGGGTAGATCAGGTGAGGCCTTTGGCTTTTCCTCTGAGTGAGATAGGGACCCATGGGAGGGTGCTGGGCCGAGGGGTGCCATGGCTTGGCTTAGCTCTCAGGAGGAGACAGACTCAGTGACAATACGTACTCTCTGAGGCTGGAGCAGAATCTGGAAAGCAGCTCCTGCAGTGCCGGCACTCTCCTTTGCTGCAGGTGTGATGACCAGATGGCCAAGGAACTCACGACCTCCTTCGGCCTCTTTGGCAGTACCACCCACGCGAACGCCCTGGGGGAGCTGAAGGCCCACATCGCCATGCTGGTGGAGCAGCTAGGGACCCAGGGCTGCAGCCAGAAGACCCTGGGCTCATCTGGGCAGGAGGTCAGCTGATCCCCAGAGATAAAGGGCTGGAACAATTCTACGGTCTCACAGCTGGAAGGCCCCTGAGGGATCTCAGCCAAGTCCTGTGCCCCATTCACAGATGAGTAAACCAAGACTCGCAGAGGAGACTTAATTACCTTTGATTTAGATTTAATGAAGAATATTTTGGTTGCAAGTTAAAGGATCCATCTCAGACTAGCTTGAGTGCCAAACAGGAAATTATTAGATCATGGAGCTGGGAAGATCACCTTCAGAAGAACAGCTGAGAAGATGAGCTTCAGGCACAGCTGGATCCAGGGACTTGGACTAAATTGTCTCCACCTGTCTGTTCTGTGTTTCTCTGGGTGTGCTGGCCTCACTTCCCCTACTTCAGAGAGGCTTACCTCAAGTGGTAGGGGAAGGGAGGGCAGGACCGCAGACAGCTCTAGGTTCCCATCAGCCCACCTAAGAAACCCCAGGGGGACAATAAAAGCCTCACTCCCAGTCCCTTAAATCTCCGGGAAGAACTCCACTTGGCCCAGGCTCAGTCAAGTGCATGTCCCCGGCCAGTTGCAGGTAGGCGGGCAGGTTCAGTGATTGGCAGCTCCATCAGAGTCGGATGAAGTGGAGGAGGGACACTTCCCCTGAGGAAAGTTTGGGTGGGGGGTGGCAGGCAACATCCGCATCGAGGTGTCTCCATTTCCATAGGACACTTAGCATTTTGTTCTCATCTCTCTCCTCCGTGCTCTGCTCCGCAGTACTCCAAGGTGGGATGCCCCTGAAAGTTGGCATTTCACTAGCCCCGGCCCACGGCACTTCTGCAGACTGGTTTGGATATAAGATAGCTCTGTATCTATATACCTGGCATTCTCCGTCCGTGCTGTTTTTCACATGTCTGGGGTCTGGTGCAGTTCCAAAGGGCGTGGGTATCACCCCTTTTCCAAGTAATTTCACAGAAATAGGGGGCAGGGGAGTTTGCAGGCTGTGTTCCCAGGCCCCTTCCAGGCCCTTCTGCAGCGGGCACAGGCGCTGGAGTGGACCCTGAGTGCCCATGGGCACCACGCCCTCAACTGCTTCTGCTTCCCTCTGTCAGTGCCAGGAGCCTCACTCTGTGCTCCCGGCTTTAGAAGGCGGGTGGCCGTGTGACCCCCTGTGGCTGCCCGGCATCCACCCTCTGCTGTCGTGGTAGGAGGGACAGTCTTGATGCCCCTAGCCAGGTGTGGGCAGTGACTCAGGCCGGGCCAGTCAGGCGCCTCTCGTGGGGCTCTCCATCTTGAGGGAGGTAGGGGATGGCTGAAGAGTGTCCTCGGCTGTGGCCCCTGGACAAGAGGCTTGAGAAGTTCCACTGTTCTCAGAACGTGAGAACATAACATAATGTTCTCAGCCCCTGGTGCGGCCCCATTTCTGAGCTTCTCCAGCTGCCAGACCATTCTGGGAATGACCCACTAGCCTGCTAGTGAATTCTTTCTGTTTAAACTAGCCAGATCAGTTTCTATTGTTGGCAACCAAAAAGAAAATATTAAAAAGAAAAGAAAAGAAGGCAGATGGATAGAGAAGAGAAGGGAGAATGGAGTCCCTCGACTAGAAAATAAAACATGCATGTTCTTGTATCAGCCCAACTCTCTGTGGCCTTAGGCCAGGTGTTCAGCCTCTCTGGGCCTTCCTCCCATGGCTGGGGAGACAGGGGGGTTTTATCTGCCCAGTCACCTGACAGGCTGAAGGGGCCAGATGAGATGACCTCTGTGAAAGGGTCAAGGCAGATCATGGGTTCTACCTGGGGATGGTGCCAAAGATACGGGCAGAGGGCGGCAGGGCGGGTGCTGAGCCCCTGTTGGTCCCTGCAGGCAGAGCTGCAGCAGAAGGTGGAAGAGAATGAGCGCTTGAGGCTGGAGCTGCAGATGGTGGAGACGGAGCGAGTGAGGCTGTCCTTGCTGGAGGAGAAGCTGGTGGATGTGCTGCAGCTCCTGCAGAGGCTCCGGGACCTGGTAGGCTCACGGGAGCTGGCACAGCCAGGGCAGGGGGAGGAGCTCCTGGAGGGAGGCCCTGGTCTGTGTCAGGCGCCGTGGGGGGCACGTGTCAGCTCCACTTTCCAGAGGCAGAAATGGAGGCTCAGGGAAGCGCGTCCAGAGGAGGGGTGGGCTCTATAACCCATTTTATGATGCTAATGTAATTTTGATCTCAAAAGCAAAGGAGGATAAATACAAGAAGGGAAAATTATAAGCTAACATCACATTTAAACATGGGTGCAAAAATATTAAATGACATATTAGCAAACCAAACCAGCAGTGTTTAAAGAAATGCAACATGACCAAGTTGGATTTATCCCAGGAATTCAAAGATGATTCAACGTCAAAAAATCTGCTAACATAACACAACACATTGCAGATTAAAGGAGAAAAACAATATATTCATCTCACTGGATATAGAAAAGTCAATAGCAGTCTCCTTTTATTACACAACCCCTCAGCAGATTACGAACAGTAAGGACTTTCCTTTACCAGATAAGGCGTCTCAGGCCAACCACCCCTTGCAAGGCTCACACTTACTGTGAAATGTAAGAAGAAATCCTTCTGAAATAGAATCAAGACGGGCATGCCTGTCCTCTCTGCTTGTGTGCCAACTAGAGGCTTTAGCCAATGCAGTAAGACAAGAAAAAGGAAGAAAGGGCATAAGGATTGGAAAGGAAGAAACGAAGCTGTCCGTAATTATATATCATATTCATGTATGTAGAAAACCCAAGAGAATCCAGAGGCAAATTATTGTAATTCCTGGGCAAGGTTGCTGACAAATTAGAACACAGAGATCAATTGTGTTCCTAAATAGCACCCACAAACCATTAAAAAAAAATTTTCTTTCTCAGAGACATGTAACTTAGCCAGGATTGTATACCCACTGTGAGGTGGAAGTAGGATTTGAACCCAGGTCTTCAGGGTTTGAAGTGGGCTCTTGCCTGCACTTCAGGCTGCCCAGGACACACAGCTTCTGAGGCCCAGACCAACGTGACCGAGAGAGTCACCGAGTGGCAGCCCAGCGCTGGCAGACAGGGGAGGCAGTGGTCCCCAGCACAGCTCCCGGCCATGCAGCCTGGGGGCAAATGCTGGTTCATCCACCTGCCAGCTGGATGGCTTAGGACCAAGTTCTCATTCTTTCTCAGCTTTGCTTTTTTCACAGGTTAAAATGAGCATAATAAAATAGGTTGTTGCAAGGATTAAATGAGCTAATGCGTGAAAATGCTCTTTATTCACGGTCATTTCCCAAGTGCCTACTTGGGCACATAGACGGTGATCCATACATATGTGATCTTTGATGGAGCGGATCCTGCACACTGCTCCACCCACCAAGAGTCTGAGAAGCCCATGAGCAGTGCAGCCAGCCTAGGGGTCGGGGGCGAGGAAGGGATGACTTGGGGGACTCTCAGGAGCCCGTAGGGGCCACCAAGTCCCGCCCACCGATGAGGCCATGACAGCCACAGTCCAGCCCAGCCCTGTCCATTTCTTTTTAAGAACATATCGAAGAGAGCGCTGGGGAAGATGTTGCTGAACACACTGGACGCTTGCAGGGACCCCGCATGTGGTAAGAGAGCTCCCCTATCTTTCAGAGCCTGGAGAGCATCTTGACCCGGCGCCTTCTGTCCTAAGTGTCCTGTCTGCAAAATGCCACCCTCGTTCCTGCGTGACCACCTGCGTAGGGTATAGTCAGGAACAGGCTTCAGAAAGTTACAAGTGCTATTTGACAAGAGCAAGGGAGGAGACACCCAGGGGAGACGCACCGGGCAGCTGGGAGGGCAATTCAGACTTGTTCCCACAGTCACAGGGCTTCCTGTGGGCCAGGCGCTGGGGATGCACCTCACGTGGTTTTAACCCCACGTCCTTAGGACAGCCCAGCGAGGAAGTGCTGTTATGACACCCTTTCCACAGATGAAAAGACTGAGACACGGAGAGGTCAAGTGCTGGCCACACCCGAGGGCTTGCCTCGCTCCCTTAAGCACTAAGCTACAAGGTCCCCATTGCTTAGAGGTCAGGGCAGCCGAATTTCTCGATGAAATCAAGACGAGCTGGGCCGAGTTCCTGCTGAAGAGGCCGCACAGGCTGATGAGGCGACTGACTGGTGATAAACTTTTGCTCGCTGGCCTCCCAGGCATCACCGCACAGGGCTCAGGGATGTCCAGTGCCCAGAATGGTCACTGGCATCAAGGAAGAGGTCAGAAATTGTGTGCCAGAAGGCCCCTTCCCCAGGTTACTCAGTAGGAGAGGGACAGAGAGGGAGATAGCTGGACAGGGCTGGGAGGGCCCCGGGGAGGAGGGAGAGTGGCGCTGCGGGCCAGAGGGAGTCGACTGAGCCGCCCTCCCCACCCACTCTTTCCTTCCAGAGGGGATATGTGGCCCCTCAGCCTTGCTGGACGCCCTGCACCAAGCTTTGGCTGGCTGTGAGCTCTTGCGTAGAGAGCCCTTGGCACCAGCTTCTGCAGCTCCTGTGCTCACCAGCTCCCTCCTCATCTCCTGCTGAGCTTGCTGCCCCAGCCTGTGGGAACCCTGGTCAGCCTGGCCACCGTCAGACCAGCCTCCAGGATCAGCCCGGCCACCATCAGACCAGCCTCCAGGATCAGCCTGGCCACCATCAGACCAGCCTCCAGGATCAGCCTGGCCACCATCAGACCAACCTCCAGGATCAGCCTGGCCACCATCAGACCAACCTCCAGCATCAGCCTGGCCACCATCAGACCAGCCTCCAGGATCAGCCTGGCCACCATCAGACCAGCCTCCAGCATCAGCCTGGCCACCATCAGACCAACCTCCAGGATCAGCCTGGCCACCATCACATCCTTGGAACCCTGGAGGCCCTGACTCCTTCTGAGGTGGGGCCAAAGCTCAGAGCATCACACTGCAGAGCCTAGCAGCCATCCCTTCCTTGGGCTCCTCCCAGATTTCCTTGCAGCCCCTGCATTCGTGCTGCCAGAGTCCACATTCAAGCCCTGTAGTTGCTGGATCAGCCTGCACCTGCTGCCACCTCCCTGCACTCAGAGCAGAGGTGCCCACTTTCCTGCCCAGCCCAGCCCAGCATCCCTTCCCTAGGCTCCCAGTTTTTCTTCCCTTCTCGGCACTGTCTCCTTCCTCCCACTAGCGTGCCTGCTGCAGAGACTCTGTGCCCAACCTTCAGGTCACACTAGTCCAAGGGGAAAATACCCATGTCCCCAGAAATGTTGAAGACCAGGACTGGGGGAAGTCAAAGCGGGGAGTCATCACTGCAGGCTTCCTGGTGGAGGCTGGCCCTGAACTAGTTCTAGAAGAGAGGTAGGATTTAGATGGGCAGAGAGAGGAAGGAAGGGCATTTAACGTGAGGTAACAGCAAGCACAAAAAGTGTGGTGCCAGAAAAAGCCCCATTTATCTAGTACCCGGATCCCCTCTTTCCTGAGCACATAGTAGGTGCTGGGCCTCATGGAGTCACAGGAAGGAGCAAGACAAGCTGCCTGGCCTCACCTACCTTAAAATCTCATGAGAAAAAAAGATACATTGTCACATAGTGCAGTGTAGGTGAAATCAGTGCTAACTCGAGGTAAGATAGAGTGTCATGAGAGTCCAGCCAGGAGGCATCTGCCTGAGCTGAGGAGGATGGTCACGCTACAGGGAGGAACGGCAGGGGTGAGGGAGGGGCCTGGAGGTAGCAGGGGCAGGTCACAGGGGGCCTCAATGGCAGACCAGGATCGGGACTTGGTCCCGCAGACAATGGGGAGCCGTGGGAGGATTCTGAGCTGCCTCGTGGAGGGTGGGCTGGAGGGGAGTGAAAAAGAGGCAGCTGCAGGACTGTAGGAGCAAGGGGTCACTATGGGACTGGAGGAGCCATGGGAACACAGACGGGGGACCATGGAGAAGGGAGGCTCAAGGGGGTGCCCAGAGGGAGCCCAAGAGCAGTAGGCACGCCAGGGCAGGGGCCACAGGGCGGGCTCGGGACAACGCCTCACCTCATGTCTGGCCTCAGACGCTCAGCAGCTTGGATGGGTGCCCGAGGCACTGGGGAGCCACTACAGGCTCCTAAGCAGGCAGTGCAGGCCCAAAGCCCAGTTTCCCAATGGTTCTTCTGGACATGGAATAAAAGGGACCTAGGCCAGTGGAAATGACAGAGGGACTACCCCACCCCTGGTCCTGTCTGTTTGAGAAGGTCCCCGGGCACTGAGGAGGCTGGTCTGGGCAGAGGGGGCTGCCCCCAGCTTGCTCCTCTCAGCTTAGCCTGAGCCCACCGGGTCCTACTCCCTCAGCTCTGCCTCTAATGACTGCATGACCCAGGCGAGCCCCACGTGTGCCCCCTGCCCAGTAGGAGGGGCTGACTGTTCCATATGTTGATCGTGGTTGTGGTCCCGGGAATCTACACACGTGTTAAAATTCGTAGAACTGGGAGCTGCTCTCAGAAAAGTCAGCCTTACTATGTGCTAATAAAAAAATTACAGGGGCTGGCAGAGACGTTCCCGAGGTGCCCTCAGCTCTGGCTGCCTGATCGGCAGTCAGCAGGCAGAGGGTGCTTGTGGACTACAGCTGCACGAAGCTGTATTTTCAGGAGCTTCCTAATGAAAATCCTCTCTTACCACGGCCCAATAAGCCAACATTCATCATCACACTCATATGCTCATAATCCCACTGGAGGCAAGTTTATGATGTGGACTAGGATTCACAGGTGCCCAGAGAGGCTAGGTGAGCTACCCAGCAACACACAGTAAATTAGCATCCAAGCTTGGAGTGAGGCCTGTTTTCTGAGCCCATGTCTCATGCACTTTCTACCACAGCCAGCTGTCTCTGGCTGGGAAACTCCAGGCTTGATAAGGGTTTGGGGTCTGGATTAGTTATGGTACAGGCCAAACTTGATTAAAGGATCCCAAAATACTTTGGGTCAAACAGCATGGAACTTATTTCTCTCCTGTAACTGTCCAGAGGTGAGTGGTCCTGGTTGGCAGAGCAGCTCCACTCCATATGGTCACCCACAGGCCCAGGTTCCTTCCACTTTGTTGCTCTGCCATTCCCTAGAGTGATGCCATCCTTTGTACGGTGGAAGCCAATTCACCAGCATTGCATCTGCCTTCCAGCTCACAGGAAGGAGGAGAGAGGAAGGGAAGGGTCAGGCACTCTGCTCACATCTCGCCTACTCTCATCCCATTGGCTATACCTAGCTGCAAGGGAGGCTGGGAAATGTAGTCTGTAGCTGGGCAACCATGTGTCCAGCTAATACTAATATTGTTAAAATAAAAAAGGCTTCCAGTTTCCAGTCCAGCATGTGAGGAGCTTGAAAGTCATCACTTTGTCTTAACAGCAAGTAAAAAGCTGAACAAATTGAAAAACCAATGACTCTTCTTGGATCCATCAGAGAAGTGAGGTCAAAGGGCAAACAGCTGCCCTCAAAATTGGAGAGACAGACAGGGGAATACAGAGAATCATGAAAAGATATATGTACTCCCACGTTCACTGCAGCATCATTTACAATAGCCAAGACATGGCTGCAACCCAAGTGTCCATCAATGGATGAGTGGATAAAGATAATGTGGTGTTTATATATATATGCACACAATGTATATACACAAAGGAATATTATTCATGCATTAAAAGAAGGAAATCTTGCCATTTGTGACAAGGATGGACCTTGAGGGCATTATGCTAGGTGAAATAATTCAGAAAGAGAAAGACAAATACCATACGATCTCACTTATACTTGGAATCTAAAAAAAAAACAACCAAGCCCATAGATGCAGAGAACACAGTGGTGGGGCGGGAGAGAAAATGAGTGAAGGGGTCAAAAGGTACAAACTTTCAGTTATAAAATAAGTAAGTCCTGGGGATGTGATGTATGGCATGGCAACTGTAGTTAATAATGCTATATTGTATTGTGTATTTGAAAGTAGTTAAGAGAGTAGATCTGAAAAGTTCTCATAGGAAGAAAAATTCTGTAACTGTGTATGGTAACAGATGTTAACTAGATTTATTGTGGTGCTCATTTCACAATGTATACAAATATCTAATTGTTATGTTGTAGACTTGAAACTAATATAATGTTATATATCAACTGTATCTCAAAAAAAAAAAAGAACCTTCGAAAAAGATACATAGAATCACAATTTATCAAAGCAGAAAGCTACCTCTGCAGGAGCCAGCACTAGAACAGAACCCTCTGAACTGTGACTAACGAATTGCCAGAGGCTCATGTGGACAGGTGTGCCAGTCACGCAGTCCAGGGGGCACCAGTCATGGGGGGCCCGCACCTTTGTGAGTTTTCTTTGAGAGCTCTTTGAGGCCCTACCAGGTCCCCACAGTGAGTATAAGAGAAAAGTCTTCTCATGCTTCTGGTAGGGGGTGGGCAGGTAACCATTTTGAAGTATGCCAGAGCATTCTGTTCTTTTTTTTTTTTGGAGGAAGATCAGCCCTGAGCTAACATCTGCTGTCAATCCTCCTCTTTTTGCTGAGGAAGACTGGCCCTGAGCTAACATTTGTGCCCATCCTCCTCTACTTTATATGTGGGATGCCTGCCACAGCATGGCTTGACTAGTGATGGGTAGGTCCACACCCAGGATCCAAACCAATGAACCCTGGGCCACCGAAGTGGATCGTGCAAACTTAACTGCTGCAGCACCAGGCCGGCCCCTCTTCTGTTCTTCTTAATGAAGCCTGCCCTTAAGAGGAAGTAGACTTCAGAGCAAGGAAAATTGTCCGAGATAAAGAGGGGCATTACATAATGATAAACGGGTCGATTCTCCAAGAAGACATAACAATCCTTAGTGAGTATGTGCCTAAAAACAGAGTGTCAGAATACACGAGGCAAAAGCCAACAGAACTGCAAGGAAAAGATGAATCCACTATTCTATCTGGAGACTTCAGCGCCGCTCTAACAGAAGTGGACAGACCCAGCAGGCAGAAAGTCAGCAAGGACGTGGTTGACGCCACAGCCCCACAGTCAACTGGATGTAACGGGCATCTGCAGACCGCTTCACCCAGCAATCGCAGGACACACAGTTTCCTCAAGCTCACATGGAACGTTCACCAACGTAGACCACACTCTGGGTCATAAAACACACCTTAACAAATTTCAAAGAACAGAAATCATACAGTGTCTGCTCTCAGCCCACGATGGAATTAAAATAGCCATCAGTAGCAGAAATATAGCTGGAAAACTCCAAAATATGTGGAGAGTAAACTACGCTTCTAAACAACACAGGGGTCAAAGAAGAAATCGCAAGAGGGAGACTTTCAACTAAATGAAAAAGAAAATAACAGTTTATCAAAATCCTGTGGGATGCAGTGCTTAGAGGGAAGTTTGTAGCATTGAATGTATATATTAGACAAGAAGAAAGATCTAAAATCAATAATCTAAGCTTTCACCTTAGGAAACTAGAAAAAGAAGAGCAAATTAATTCCAAAAGAAGTAGAAGAAAAGAAATAATAAAAATTAGAGCAAAAATCAATAAAATTGAAGACAGAAAAACAATAGAGAAAATCAATGAAATCAAAAGCTGGTTCTTTGAAAAGATCAATAAAATCAATAAGCCTCTAGCCAGGCTAACTAAGGGGAAAAGAGAGAAGACACAAGTTACTAATATCAGAAATGAAAGAGGAGGTCACTACAGAGCCCATGGACATTAAAAGGATAATAAAGGACACTGGGAACAGCTCTAAGCCCACACCTCTGAGAACCTGGATGGAATGGACCAGTTCCCTGAGACACAATCTGCCAAACCTCACAGAAGGAGGAATCGGAATAGGCCTATATCTATTAAAGAAATTGAATTAGTAATTAATAACCTTCCAAAACAGAAAGCACCAGGCCCACGTGGGTTCACTGGTGAATTCTACCAAACGTTTAAGAAAATTACCCCAATTCTCTACAATCTCCTCCAGGAGACAGAGGCAGAGGGAATACTTCCTAACTTATTCTGTGAGGCCAGCATTACCCTAATACCAGAACAGTACAAAGACATGACAAGAAAAGAGAGCTAGACAGCAATATCTGCCATGAAAATAGATGCGAAAATCCTCAACTTAATATTAGCAAATTGAATCCAACAATGTGCAAAAAGAATTATACACCACAGCCAAGTAGATTTATCACAGGGCTGCAAGCCTGGTTCAACATTCAAAATTCAGCTAATATAATCCACCACATCAACAAGCTAAAGAAGGAAAATCACGTGATCATATCAATAGATGCAGAAAAAGCGTTTGACAAAATCCAACGTCTGTAAAAAAAAAGTCAGCAAACTAGGAATAGAGGGAACTTCCTCAACTTGAGAAAGAACATCTACAGAAAACCTACAGCTAACGTCACACTTAATGGAGAGAAACTAGAAGCTTTCCCACTCAGATCAGGAAGAAGGCAGGGACGTCCCCTCTCACCCCTCCTCATTGTCTTACCAGAAGTCCTGGCTACTGCAAAAGACGGAGGAAGGAAACGAAAGGTGCTGCAGACTGACCGTCTGCATCCCCGCGAAGGTCGTATGTCAAAACCCTAATCCCAGTGTGATGGTGTTGGAGACGAGGCCTTTGGGAGGAAATTAGGTCAGGAAGGTGCCCTTCTGAGAAGAGACAGGAGAGAGCTTGCTTCCTCTCTCTCTGTCTCCACCTTGTGAGAAAACAAGAAAGTGGCCATCTGTAAACCAGGAAGAGGCCCTCACCAAGAACCCAACCATGCTGGCACCCTGATCTTGGACTTCCAGCCTCTAGAACTGTGAGAAATGAATGTTTGTCATTTAAGTCACCCAGTCTGTGGTATCTTCTTACAGCAGCCCGAATTGACTAAGACAAAAGATATACAGATTGGGTACCTGCCCCGTGGCCGAGTGGTTAAGTTTGCCTGCTCTGCTTCAGTGGCCCGAGGTTGGCGGGCTCGGATCCTGGGCACAGACCTACACAGCGCTCATCAAGCCATGCTGTGGCAGCGTCCACATACAAAAGAGAGGAAGACTGGCACAGATGTTAGCTCAGGGACAGTCTTCCTCAGCAAAAACAAAGTTATACAGATTGGGAAGGAGGAAGGAAAATCGTCTTTGTTTGAAGATGACATGATCATCTAAGTAGAAATCAAAAAGAATCCACAAAAAAACTGGAACTAATAAGCAATTGTAGTAAGATTACGGGGTACAAGATAAATATATAAAAGTCAGTCGCTTTGCTGTGTACCAGCAACAAACAAGTGGAATTTGAAATAAAAAACACATTACCATTTACGCTAGGACCCCCCAAAATGAAATACTTAGATGTAAATCTAACAAAACATGTACAAGATCTATATGAGGAAAATTGCAAAACTCTGATCAAAGAAATCAAAGAACTAAATAAATGGAGGCATATTCCACGTTTGTGGACACGAACACTCAATATTATCAAGATGTCAGTTCTTCCCAACTTGATCTCTGCGTTCAGTGTGACCCCAAACAAAACCCCGCAAGTTTCTTTGTGGATATTGACCAACTGATTCTAAAGTTTCTATTAAGAGGCAAACGACCCAGAGTAGCCAATTCAATATGAAGGAGAAGAACAAAATTGAAGGACTGACACTCCCCGACTTCAAGACTTTCTATAAAGCCACAGTGATCAAGACAGTGTGGTTTTGGCAAAATAATGACAAACAGATCAATGGCACAGAATAGAAAGTCCAGAAACAGATCCACATATAGTCAACTGACCTCTGACAAAGGAGCACAGGCAATACAATACAAAGACAGTCTATTCGATAAATGGAGCTGGAACTGGACATTCACATGCAACAAAAAAGAGACAATGAATCTAGACACAGACCTTAGACCCTTCGCGAAAGTTAACTCAAAGTGGATCATAGACCTAAATGTAAAATGCGAAACTATAAAACTCCTCGAGTATAAATAGGAGAAAATCTAGATGACCTGGGGGTAGCTATCACTTTAAAATACAACTCCAAAGCCATGATCCATAAATTAAATAAGTGATAAGCTAGACTTTGTTAAAATTAAAAATTTCTGCTCTTCTCGAGAAAGATACTGTCAAGAGAATGAGAAGACGAGCCACAAAATGGGAGACAATATTTGCAAAAGACATATCTGATAAAGGGTTATTATCCAAAACAAACAAAGACTCTTAAAGTCAATAATAAGAAAACTCACAACCTGAATTTTTTAAGTAGGCAAAGGTCCTAAACAGACATCTCACCAAAGAAGATACAGAGATGGCACATATGCACATAAACAGACGTTCGACATCAGACGTCATTTGGGAATTGCAAATTAAAACGACAGCGAGATTCCACTACACACCTATTGGGACGGCCAAAATCCGAAACACTGACAACACCAAATGCCGACGAGGATGTGGAGCAGCGGGAGCGCTCACTCGTTGCTGGTGGGGAGGCCACGAGTGGGGAGCCACTTTGCAAGACAGTTTGACAGTTTCTTAAAAACTAAACATATTCTGGGGCTGGCCCCGTGGCCGAGTGGTTAAGTTCGCGCGCTCCGCTGCAGGCGGCCCAGTGTTTCGTTGGTTCGAATCCTGGGCG